GGCCGGTGCCCACCGACCCGGCTCTCCCCCCGGGGGCCTGGCGCTCCGGGGAACGCGCGACGCGGGCCGGCCGGGGGGAAGCGGCCGCGCGACGAAGAAGCAGCCCCGGGGCCGGCGGCCGCGTCACAGGCTCGTCTGCGTCCGGGGCCGGTCCTTAAAGGGGAGGGGGGCGGGGCCGGGGCGGGGCGGGGCGGCCCTTAAAGGGGAGGCCGCGGGCGCCTCGGCGGGAGCCGGGACCGGGGACTGAGGGCCGGGGCCGGGGGCCGGGAGCGACCTCGTCCGCCTCCTCCTAGGGCCACGCAGAGCCTAGAAGGCGGCATGTGGAGGCTACTGAGTAATTCGGCTGGAAAACCCGCTGCTGCCCAGCTGTCTGCCTCTCAGCAGCAGCGAATCGGGAGAGGGGCGCCCGTCCTTTGGGGGAGCCCGGCCAGAAGAGACCTGCCCGGGAGGGGAGCGGAGACTGGAGACCGAGGCCTGGCCAGGGGCCAGGGTCTGGCGCAGTGAAGTACTTCCTGAACGTTTTCCTGAGGGTCTTACGTGTCTTTCCTCGGGAACGTCTTGTTTTTAGTAGAGTTCCTTGGACACCTTAGTAATTAGGCCCCTGAACATATTTTTATGTAAATAAACTCAAAAGGACCCAGGGTGGGGCAAGACGCGGCCAGGGGGCGGCTGGCTCCGTCCCCACCGCTTCCCGGGGACTTCCTGGGTGACCCCAGAGACTCGCACCTGTCTGCGGGAGGCCTGGGCCTTTCCCTAGGGTTCTGGACAGAGCAGAAGGCAGGGAGAACGGCTGTAAGTCCCAGGGCACCAATACAGGTCCCTGAATGGACCGTCACAGGGGACTGGATACTTCCACAGAAGCCTAGTGCTAGTCGCTAGTTGGGGTTAGCCCAGCGTCTCTGCAGAAGATACGGTCCCAAGACCTCGCTGTGCCCCAGCACAGAACAGGGCGGGGAGGGAGTACGGGAGGCATTAAATGCATTCCTGCTGGCCTCCTCACGCCCAGTACTGAGCAGTGGAGACACAGCACAAAGGACAAACCTCAGCCAAGTTAGAGAGGGGCTCCCTCTGAGAAAGGGCTCCCTGGGGACATGTCCAGGTGGATGAGACCCAAGCTGGTGCTTCCTCTCTCCTTCCTCTTACCGAAGGGAGGCAGGCATGGGGTGGGGGTCCCTTTCAGGGGCAGGCAGGGCTCCTCAAGGAGAATATCCGCTCTTCTTGGGCAGCACTTACTGAGTGGTGCCTGTGCCTTGCCGCCCTGCACAGCCCTGCGGTGGTGGCTGGTGTGCCTCTATGAGGACAGGCAGGTTGGGAGAGGTCAGAAATTCGGCCAGCACAGGCCTGGGAGTGGAAGGCAGGGGATTCACTTCTGTCTACAGCTGCCCTGAGCTTCCTCCTGGGCAGAGGAGAGGATGGAGGCCGTTAGGCTGCTCTGGGATTCCCCCGACTCTTCCAAGACAAAGACTCTACCTAAAGCCACAGAGAAAGGAAAGCACCACCCCCTTACCAGTTCTGTAGTATCACTGCCCCCGCCCCAGCCCAAAGATAACCAAGGATTGAGGAAGGAACATAGGGATGAGGAGGAAGAGGAAATCTCCTAGATTCTTCCAGTGACAAATGTGCAGAATCCAAGTCTCCAGGTGAGTTACCTTGAGTGAGAAAGCCAGTTAACCTCTCTGTGTATCTGAAAAGCACTAGAATAATAAAATCTGCTTTCAAACCTAAGCAAGAATCACATGATGTAGTATTTATGAGATCCTTTCATAAAGCATGAACTGTAAGTATTCAAAGTATTTTTTTTTTGTACCAGGGATCAAACTCAGGACCTTGTGCTTGAGAGGCAGGTGCGGTGCCACTGAGCTAAATCCCCGGCCCTTTCATGAAATAGTAAATATCACCATTATTCAGGCATTGCTAGCTTGCTCCTCTGCTCCATGCCCACTACTTCGAGACCTGTCTCTGACATCAAAACCACCTTTCTATCTAGCCGGGGTTCTGGGGAGGTGAGGAACAGAGGACCTAGGCATAATGAGGCAACTGAAACCCAGCTCGAGATTCCTCCTGGAGTTTCAGGGCAGAATAGGCCCAGGGAATGTACAAGGAGCAGAGGGTATGTACACAGTACGTTGAGATTGCATACACAGTACTCAGAACACACACACACACATACGAACACCACACAGAAGCGCTGTGTGCCTGGTGTGTAAAATGCCAGCTAGAGGAATAATCGAGGAATTGCTGAGCCAAAGAAGCTGTGCTAGGCACAAGGTAGAGAGTCTGAAGTTCTTTGCCAGTTCTGACTAGCTAGGTGACCTCATTGAAGTCCCTCGCCCCTCAGTTCCTTCTATCTCATCTGTAAAATACAAAAATAACATCTGCCCTGCCTACCTGGTAGGGATATTACAAGGAGAAGATGAGTATGTGCCTACAAGGCCAAAGAAATCCAAAGTCCTACTTGTAGAACGCCAGGCTCTCAGCTGTCTCTCATTAGTTACTTAAGAAAGCACTTCAAAAATTGGAAGTTAGGGTGGAGGCTGTGGCTCAGTAGCAGGGCACGTGCTTAACATGTGCAAAGCCCTGAGTTTAATCCCCAACACGACACACTCAAAAAAAGTTGGACGTCTATGTAAATAGAGAGTGCTCTTTTTTGCCTACTGTTGCCAGGCAAACACATACATCATGCAATGTAGTACACACAAAGGCAACTAAAGGCATCGGGCACATAGAATCGGACTAATTATGATCCTTAATTTGTGGCTTTGCCATTGGATCATTGGACTAGCCATCTCCACTTTCATTTAGTTAGTTAATAGTTATGGGCCAACACTCCTCAATCCCTCTTTGATAAGGGAGAACCCTCAATATTTAGCTAAGCATATGACTACCTGGAATAAAAATTGCACCTCCCAATTTCCCAGCCTCCATTACAGTTGGTTGTATTCATGAGCTTATGTTGCAGCAGATGATTAAGAAATGGAAGAGGTTGAAGGCAAGAGATAGGTCCTTTTCCTTCTCTCCTTTTCTCCTGGAATGAATGCAACCAACGATTCTACTGGCTGTACTTTCTACTTTAGTTCGACTTTAAATCTCCCACATCCTGATTTCCTTCCATCTTGGCCTAATCTGTTAGAGTATAGGGTGATGTTCATGTGCATGGCTGGATTATATCCTAGGAATCCATGGCAATCTCTCCCCAAGCTTATTCCGCCAGGCTTTCACAACTCTAAGAAGTAAAAGTTTCCTGTCCTACTATGATGTGGCCTTATGAGTGAATGCTGGGTGGTGGAAATCCGCAGAGTTGGATTTCGTGGAAATGTGCAGCTGACATCTCTGGATGAGGCAGAACCACCCTTGGGCTGGTGGACGTGCACCCAGATGAAATGGCCTTCATATCTCCTGCTGGTGTGGAAGACAGAATCTCACAGAGGGGACACGGTTGTACACAACTCACCATGCTAAATAAAGGACAGTGACTTGAGGCCAGGGAGGAAAAAGCAGTCTTCATGTCACAGACTAACATTTCTTAGATAAAATGAGAAATTCTCCAAAGCAAAAGTGACAAATACATAGGAATCATTAGTCCCAAAAATTCTGACCCAGAAAGTGACCTCTAAGCTTCCGTCTCAATGGCCTCTATCATCCGTTCTATCTTAACCCGCTCACAGAAAGGAATTCTACCCAGAGCAAGTGTTGTTAGCAGTGCCCTTTGTCACGACATCATAGGGGAAGAAAGATCTGCTCCCCCACTGTCTGCACCCCATCCTTGGCAGTTTAAACCACAATGGGGAGCAGCTGGGGCAGCAGTAAAGAATAGGAATGGAAAGAAAAAGAAGGAAGGACCCAAAGGAGAAGGGAAACCTCACCTCTGCACATCCACAGACATAACATGGCCCAAAGGGACTCCAAATGGAACTAATTAGAACTGAAGGACGTCTCATTATAAATCCTCCCATTCAGGTTGGGAAGCTAGAGAAGAAAGGTCTGCACTCACTAGGGCCTAAGGTGGTCCTGTGCTCAGGCGCTCCGTCCAGCATAGAGCCCGGACCATGCGAGGGGAAGGGAGAAAAGAAAAGGGAACTCAATGTCCAGGAACACAACCAGGTTGGGTCAGCAGAAGTGAGCAGTGACTCTGCCTGGTGGCCTGGTGGTGCCTGGGGGGGGGTCCCCTTTCTGAAGATAAATGGAAGTCCGAGGGCAGAAAAAAATAAAGAAGGAATAGGCGGGGAACTCCTAAGGTTATAACAATAAATAGTTTCACATGGCAACATAACTTTGAGGCAGCAGAGCATGGCAGCATCAAACTCAGTGTTCAAATCCTAAATGCACTTCAGTGCCTCTCTGTAAAATGAAGGAGATAATATTCCCTAGATTAAATACAAGGGCGACACCTCAGACTGTCCTAGTGCAGCCTCTAAATGTGAGCTGTGTTGTGTGGCTGGTCTTTCTTAGCGTCATCTATTCAATCCTCTCAATGCTCTGGGCGGTATTATTTTGTGTTTCCGTGTATGTCATTTTCATCAACGAAAACATGGTTGTTCAGCAAGTTTAAGTAACTCGCTGTTATACTTTGGGTCTTGAATGTTCCCTAAAGGCCCATGTGTCAAAAAACAAGTCTTGGTCCCCCCCAGTGACTTTGTTACCGTAGCTGACACACCAGCCAGAGACGTCACACAGCCACCCTGTGTTGTTTCCACGTATGTCAGCACCCTTCCTAACCGCGCATGTAAGTGGTCCTGACACCTGTCAGCCCATGTGCATCGCTCAAGAGAAGGAAACAGCTGGCAATGCAAAATACTCAGGTATTCCAGAGACTCGAAGTTAAGGACAATGAATATTCACTTCAGCAGTGTGGATTTGGGATCCTAGCTTTTAAGGAAGGACCTAAATATATGAACCATACGAGTTGAGTGCTCTTATCCAAAATGCTTGGGACCAGAAGTGTTTCAAACTTAGGAATTTTTCAGAGTTTGGACTATTTGCAGACATTCACAAAATACTCCAAGATCTGAGCTTTTTGAGGGTCTCGTCAGTGATCAAAACCTCTTGGATTCCAGATTTTCAGCTTAGGGGTGCTCAGCCTCAGTGCTGTACTTTTCTGCTGCTCATTCCATGGCAGATGGGCTAAGAGCTAAGTTTGTAACCCACATTTCTCATGAGGTTGTGAAAAGAGGTGAAAGGGACACGTGGTGGAGAGCCGTGATCTGTCCAGAGGCCACATCTACACATCACACAGTCAGAGGTGTGACCTCAAAGCCCTGTGCTCTTGAAGCTTCCAGGGTCTCCTTGCACCACAAGAGGAAGCCCTTCCCTCTGGGTGGCCCTTGTGCATGCGCTGCAGGCAAGTCTTTGCCTCTTGCGGAAGTGTGTCCATCAACTCTGGGGCGGGATCTGCCCATGGGCCTGGGTGGATGCCCACAGTGTCCCGGAGGGGGCCATCTCAGGTGCAGGGGACACTTGGAGGTCCTGGAACAGCGAAGTTAGCGTAAGGGCCCGCCTGGGGCCTGCGTCTACCCGACGAACACAGTCAACCTTGTGTTCTCTTTGGTGGCAGCAAACACTGAGCACAGGTTAGTGTCCCGGGGGTGCCGGAGACACACTCCGCACCACACTTGTCCACCCTGCTCCTGTACCTGTGGATGCTTGAGTTCTGCGATTGAGAATAATGCTGCTATGGACGTGGGGTACAGGTATCTGAATGCCTGCTTTCCGTTCTTGTGACATGGGATTGCTGGACCATATGGTAATCCTATATTTTAGTTAGCTAGTTAGTTGGGGTTTTGTTTGTTTTTGTAACAAGGGGACTGAACCCAGGCCCTTTGCACTGAGCCACATCCCCAGCCCTTTTTAACTTTCTATTTTTGAGGCAGGGTCTTGCTAAGTCACTAAGTGCCCGTGCTGGGCTTGAATTTACAGTCCTCCTGCCTCGGCCTCCCAGAGTGCTGGGATTACAAGTGTGCGCCACCATGCCCACCTCGTGTGTGATTTTTGAGGTGTCCCCATAGTGTTCACACAGTCACCACATCCTTTCGAAATCTCCCCAGCACTACCTGGAGCTCCATTGCCCCTCACTCTGGATAACCTTTGTTATTTCTCGGCTTCATGTTGGTAATAGTACTGTAATAGTAGCGGCCTTGGGAAGGGTTGAGCATGGTGCCCCAAGGCTCAAGCTAGGAGAGATTCACCCAGGAAGTCCACAGGGAGTGCTACTAGGTGATGTGTCCCCTGGGCCTCCTGAGATGGGCAGGAATTGTCCAGGCAGGGAAGGAAAAGCCACACAGGAAGATAGCTCATTCACCCGAGCACAGCAATACAGACAGATTGTAGGGTGCAGTTAGAAGCACCAGGCTGCCCCACAGGCTGGACCTCACCACACTGCAGCATTTGTTGGGCAGAATTTCAAGTTGTGCGGCATGAGGCAGTGCGAAGGGCTAGAAAGTCCATCAGGCTTTGGCAAATGAGGCGCTGTTGGTAACGTATGTGAACGTGCTGGTCAAACTTCAATGCATGTTGTAGTATTAGGATTCCAAACGATTTCTCTACCTACACAGTTCGGTGGCATTAAGTTCATCCACACTGTTGTGCATCCGTCACCCCGGCCCACCTCTTGAACGCTTTCCATTTTGCAAAACCAAAACCCTGCCCCTGTCAGACAACAGGTCCTTTTCACCCTCCCACACAGTGCCTGGAAAGTGGTGGCAGCCTCTGGCATCTGCCTGGAGGGAAGACCCTGGCCCTGGGGCGTGGGCACTGGTCCATTCCCTCCCAAGTGCAGAGGTAACTGAGAGGTGCAGGTGGCCTGCTCCTGTTGACCCTGAGGGTCACGGGGCTCCTGCTGTCCGTCACATGAGAGTTGGGACCTTCCAGGCCTGCAAGGACTGCCAGCCCATCCTCCTTCCCCTGGCCACTGCACACAGCATGGGTCTCCTGAGTCATTCAGATGCTAGAAAGTCTCAAAGCGGGAAGCCCCTGCCTTGAACAGCCTTGGTAAGCCCAAAGCCTATCCAAGTGAGGATTCTCAGATGCACGCGTCCCCGTCCCTCCTGCCGTGGGGACAGAGGCAAGGGGCCATCCTCTATGTTTTACAGATTGCAGAATTCTTTCTCCCCTCCTCACCCCTTTTCCAAACCTTCCCATGGTACAAAATGCAGGCGCCCAAAGGGTGCCTAGTGAAATGTGTCCCTCCGACCCTCAGCCCTCGTGTCCACCCCATCTCCTCTGGTATTGGAGCCAGTCCAACCTGCCCTCCAGGAACGAGCCAGGACTGTGTGGCATACATCCCAGGAGATCTCAGCCTGACTTGGAAGTCACATCATTAAGAGGAAAAGCCTGGACTAGGCCGAGGGCCCAGAAGTCAGACTGACAGACTTGAGCCAGCACCAAACCCCTCTGCACACTTCTCCCTGGGGTTCCTGGGGTCAAGGTGTCCTCACAGGAGCGGGGCCTTCGCCTGGCACCAGGGAGGCCCGTGTACAGGAAGTACAGGGAAGGCTAGGAGTCGGGAGGGAACTAAGTGTGAGAGTTGGGGCCATGAGCAGGGAAGAGAGCGGGAGAGATCTGGAAAAGAAGAGATAGAGAGGGTGCGGTCTGCTGCTCCGCCGGGCCGACTGATCTGAAGAGCTGGTCAGTCGATGCCCAGGTCCCTCTACCCGGGCTAAGAACAACCGGAAGGGGTGCAGAGAGGGGCCTGTGGGTGGAGACAGGTCGGGCTCAGTAGAGGTGTTTCTGCATGTCTTGGTGTAATCACAGCTGCCTCAGCCAGAGCTGCAGCCCGAGTCACTGCCCAGGAATCTGGTTCTTGTTTACGATGAAGAAGTGTGGTTATTACAGGGGCAATGGCCCTCCTCCAGCTCCCGAAAGAGCTTGTGGAGGAGCCCAGGGCCCAGGAAGGGGAGCCTGGCCCAGGGAGAATTGCTGAGTGAGAGGGCCAGGAGGCCCCCAGCCTTCCCAGGGCTCCCTCACCCAGACAAGGAGCCTGGAGGGATTCTGAGGCCTTATTTGGCCAAGATTCCAGGGGCCTATCTGCTTACAGAGCTTGGGAAAGAGCCAGGGAGCAGAAGGAGACAATGGGCAAGAAACCAGGAAGATGTGAGTTCAGTGTGACAGCACCTACTGTGTGCTCGCTCCGGGTAAAGAATTAACAGAGGCTGGGGAGGCAGCTCGGGATAGAGCACTTGGCGGGTATGCACGGGGCTTGGATTTCATCCCCAGCACTGAGAGAGAGAGAGAGACAGAGTTCCTAGGGCAGGCCGAGCCCTCTGAGAGCCACATTCTGCTAACTCTGTGTCTCTCCCTGGTGACTTGCCAATCGCTGTCACACAGTGTGACACTTGTCCTTTTGCTGGGTAGAATGTAGAATGGACAGAAGGATGTGGATGGCAGACAGACGAATGAAAAGGCCACAGTAAGAGCTGCCATTATGGAAGGAGCACTCGGGATGTGCCAGGCATGACTGTGCCTGACTACCGTGTTGGCTCAGCGCCCCAGAACAACCTAACAAGGTCAGTTCTACCAACCCTTCCAGTGGTTCAGAGGAAGAAGCTGAGGCCCATCTCTCCCTGAATTGAAGTGATTTAAAGTAAGGCCTTTGGGGGCTGAGGCAGGAGGACTGCTCTGAGTTCAAAGCCACAATGGCCTACACAGTGAGCCTGAGCTCGAAAAAGAAAAATCAAATAAATAAATTACAAATAAAAGAAGGCCTGGAGTGGGGATCTGAGTGCAGGAAGCTAGGACCTAACACCTGTTTTCTTAGCCATTGTGTTCTCCAGAGTAGAGAGCAGGGCATATAACTTCCACAGTCCGGACTACAGAGCTCCGCCCTGGAGTTTCAATGCATCATTCATGGTGGGGAATACTCTCTCTTTCTCTCTTTGCTACCCCTTCTCGATGTCTTTTTTTATCCTATTCGCTGTTCATTTTTTCTGAACATCGTCCAAATGAGGAGGTGTTTCTGAAACCCCAGCTTGGTTCATTTGCACCCCATGTGGCTGTCTGCCTTCTCCTCCCTGGGAAGTAGAGCTAACAAGGGCCTAAAAGAAATCGGGCCACTGTCGCTGTTCCCAGTATTTCCAGAGGCCACAGAGCTGCAAATGGAAATGTCAGTGTGGGATAATTACATTGGCCTTAAGGCCCTGTCTTCCATTTATCCATCATTGATTCCTGAGAAAGACAAAAGAAACGAATAATCAACCAGGCAGATGGAGTGTCAGGCAGCTAGGCCAGGAGAGAAAGCACAGCTCCCCGAAGGGGCAGGAAAGCAAGGCACTGGCTGAAGAATGTGTCTGCTGCGGGGCAGAATGGGCTGGGAAGAGGCACACGGATCTGGCTCCAGCCTGGCCTGGGCAGATAAGGTGTGTCAGCAGGAAGCAAGCAGCCCTTGGTTACTTCCACATCCCCGACAGCCATGGAAAGCTCTCTCTAGGAAACAGGGAAGGAAGTAGAAAGGAAGCAACCTGAGGATATCACATGAAGGGGGAGGACAGGCATTAGAATAAGGCTGAAAGATCACTGAGGTTCTGGAAACTGCTTCTTTATAGACGCTTCTTGTACCGCCCGTGTATGCCCTCCCATTCCCCCACACACTGAGATCCAGCTGAGGAGATGGGGCCAGGCATTTACCATTGGGCAGTTTCACTTCCTGTTTTCTCATACCGAAAGTATAATCATCACCATAATGATAATAATAATTCCACAGCCTTGCCTCTGCCTTCTATTTATCTAGGGCCTCCCATACTCGTGTATGTAAGTGGGAGGGGAAGAATACCACGCACCTACTCTGCCAGCCCACAGTGGAGGGCGGAGGAGGCATGGAGGCCGGGGTGGGGAAGCAGGAGTTAGCAATAGAAAGTATAAACTCATTTTTCCAAAGAGGAGGAATTTCCCAAATGGCTATTCTCACCTTAGAGATATTTGCAAATCTCTTCTTCCAAAAATAAATTCTTTCTTAAACTTTTTCTCCTCCAATCTACCTCCCAACCAAGACACTGTGATGTGAGGCCCAGGGGTTCGGGTCGCTTCCCAAGTCACACAGCCAGTCAGAAGGAAGACCGGACATGACCGGATGCTGCTTCTGCATCTATCAAGAGCTGTAACCAAGAAGGGAATTTCCAACTCTATGGGGAACTTAGAAGTTGTTAGGAAAACCACAGCTATTTCTGCCAAGGAAAAAAGTATGTAGTTCCTCCAAATTCAAAACCCCAGGGCAATGAGAGGTCTCTCTGCCGAGAATGTTTTGGGAACTTTAAAGTTAGGATGCAGGATGGAGGGGGAGCTTTCAGGCCTTCGTGGGGACCAACATCTGGGAGCGGAGGTGTCCGGCTAGCTAGTGTTCAGGGGCTGTGCTCTAAGGTCAAAGGCTGAGCTCTTGCTGGGCTCTGGAGAAGGATGAGGGAGGAGGAAAGTGGGGGAGGGAGCAATTATCTTGATGACAATAGTGACACAGATCTCTCCAGTTCCTGCCCTCCCCTGGGGATCTGAGAAGAGGGGAGAGGCAGGAGGGAGCAGGTGCTTTAAGGGCCCTTTCAAAGTGAACAAAGAAGGCAGGTAAAGGAAAAAAGGAACCAAGGGAAAGTACTGCTAATTAATTGAGCTTTAAAAAAATTCTCCCTCCGCCACAAAGAGACACTGACACTCTCTAGGTACACTAAGGAAAAAGAGAGGATATGATATCACACGTTTATTTACTGTCATAATTATTGTTCTCAGAGCTCTTATTTTCCTCCAAGGGACACTCACCAGCCTGGAAGGGCCAAATGACTGGCAGACTAAAAATGTGAACATGCACAGAGTTGACTGCAGCCCTGCGAATAATCCACCGCAGGCTGTTAGAGCTGAATCAGGCCAGGGAGAGAATAATAATGATATCAAACTCTTCCCCACATTCACGATGAGCCAGACGTGGTCCTGAGTATTTTCCATGCATTTGTTCTGTGAAATAGACTATGGGGGTGACAGAATCGTTCCCATTCATTCTGAATTCACGTTTATTCGTGTCCTTCCTGTCTCAGCTTTCTTGAAGCTGTCCAAGGCCTAGGTTCCTTAGTCCCTCACCTCTACTCAGGACCAGTTACCTAATGTGGAGGACCCAGAATTGTGTGCATGCGTGTGTGTGTGTGTGTGTGTGTGTGTGTGTGTGTGTGTGTGATGTTATTGGTGGGTGATTGAACCCAGGGCCTCTGCCCTGACCTCCCTCCCACACCCTTTTTAATTTTCTTTGTTTTTTGAAACAAGGTCTCACTACGTCACTAAGTTGCCCAGCCTGGACTCAAACCTAAGATGCTCCTCTTCAGCCTCCCAGTGTGCTGGGATTGCAGGTGTGCACTACCACGCCCAGCTCTGCAGAGCTCTTCGTCCAGAAATTATTAAGAATTTCAAGATCGTGGCAGCAGAACATTAAACCAAGTGTGAGGCCCTTCTAAGCAGAGGTCCCTGTGGGACCGCGTGGGCCTCACACCCGTGGAACTGGCCCTTTGCACAGAACACTTCTGGGTCCTCCATTATCCTGCCCGTGTGTGCCTAACCCCTGAACACAGAAAGAGGAAGGAGAAAAACCCACCCCACCCTAACACACTGGCCTTCGCTGCATGGCTTTGTGGAAGAAGGAATTCCAAAAGGCTTGAGGGCCGTGATCCAGATTGTTTTTTCTGAACGCTCCCGCTGCTGTATAGATTTGTCCTTGTAGCCATCCCTGTCCTCACCCCGCCTCGAGTTGGTTGGCAGTTCTTGCTGACTTTATCTCAGCAGGCCTCCTGCATCCTGCCCTCTTTTCCATCTCCTTTGCCAACATCCTAGTTTTCTCGCCTGGAATATTCTACCGGCTCACTAACTAGGCTGCTTGCTTTCAACCTCTTGTTTTTCCAATCCATCCTGCTTGTTACGCTTGCGCTTGTGTCTGTTAACGTTTTAGAACTCTGCCCCTCAGAGGTTGTCGGTTTCCCCAGATCCTCGCTCTCCCCTCAGCCACCTGTGAAGCCCTCCATATCCCTAGAGGAGGATGTCCCCCTGCTGGGTACTCCCTGAACCCCTCCCTCCTTTGCTTCCTGTCAGGTTCCCATGCTGGACTGTAGCTCGTGTCCATCTGTGGACAGAACACGCCCCTTCCGTCTAAATTCCAGAGGGAAGTGTGACATCCAAAGTCCCATCCCATGTCACCAGTGCGTGGCCCTTGGAAAGATGAGGAAGAGCTGCCTCTGGTGGGCTGGAGCGGGATGGGAATAGTCATGAGAGCTATGGGTGTGGCCCCTTGGAAGGCTTGTTTGCTTGGCTTCAACCAGAGAGGAAGAGAGCCCTGACTTCAAAAATCTTCATTGTCTATTGCAAAGTAATTGCTTTGTTTAAACAATCAAGGTAGTTTTAAAGAGTGATGCCTTTGACTGCTATGGTAGGAAAGAAACCACAATCAAAGATGGCTTGCTATGGCTTACTTTAACATTTCAAAAAGTCTTCCTGCTACTTCAATCTTTTTTTTTAAAGACAGGGTCTCCCTAAGTTGATAAGCTGCCCAGGTTGGGCTAGAACTTGCAATCCTGTCTCAGCCTCCCATACTGCTGGGCTTACAGGGGTGCACCACACAGCTGGGGTACAGGGAACTGGTCTTGGAGGAGGAACATTTGCTCCACTCCCACTCAGATGACTCCTTCCCCTGAATCTGTAAGGTGTTGAAGTATCTCCTGCCTGCCCTCAGCCCTGCCTCTCCTTGCTGCCCACCTGGCTTCTCCTACTCCCTTCCCTGACAAACTCCCCGCAAGAGCCCTGTGATTGTTCTTCGTCTCCTGTTCCTCGCCTCCTGATCCATCACTCAGCGCTCTGGAAATCTGACTTTGGTTTCAGCCACACCTCTGATCTCCTGCTCCTGTGAAGCGCACATGCTCAGTTTAGATCCCCTGCTGAATTTTACACTTTGAACGAATCCCTTTGTCTCCTACTTTGCTTTGCGGGACATCACACTGTCTTTCACTTCTATATCTCCCCATCACTTCTTATTGCCTTCCACACTCTTCTTCCCCACCAACCTCTGAAATGTCAGCGTGTTTGCAGGCTCCTCCCTTAACTGGTTCATCATTTTGTGCTATTATTTCCCAAGTTTCAACCACCAGCTAACACCACATCTGTGACTCCCAAAGCTACAAATACAGACCAGATATTCCTCTTGAACTTGTACCCACAGTAGACTTCTGTCACTAGGTGTGACAGTTAAGCTGGATAACTTGATTGGCTTGGCAGTCACCCAGGGGATTAGTAAAGCACACAACTGGGTATGTCTGGGTGGGTCATAGAGGGCTAACTTTGGGGTCTATATCTGGTCATTGGCCCCTTCCTCTCTCATACCGTTCCCCCGCTGTGCTTCCCAGCCAGCATGAGCAAAGTAGCTTTGCTCCACCACAATGGTCCTTTCTTGGAGCCAACCGACCATGGACTGATTCCCCCGAAACCATGAGCCAAATACACTGACTAATACACTAGATATTCCCAGACACCTAAATTCGTTATCCACAAAACGAATTTTATTATCTGTGCCACACACACACACTCCTTCATTCTGCTATTCAGGAAGGTATGGTTCTCCATCTGGTTGCCAAAGCTGGAAGTGGGAGGTCAGCCTTACTCTTCATTGCTGCTCACCTCAACACTCTGTCAGTTACCAGTTCCAGCCCATCCCACCTCCCTGCCTGCTGTTTCCTTCTTTCCATTCCCACCCAATTGCTCCCTCTCTCTGCATCAGGCCCTGTCAGCTTCCATCTGCAGTATGGCCCAGCTCCTGACTGGCTTCCAGCTTTCCCCTCGCAGTCCATTCTCCTGGTAGCACCCCAACAGTTTAATTAGAAACTTCATCCCATTATCCCAGGGTTTAAAACACCCTTCATGGCTCCCTCAGCCCAGCAAAGTGGGCCTGACTCCCTCGTGCTGCACAGGGCTCTTCAGGCAGTCTTGGCCCCAAAGTCTGGAGCACCCCTTTTAGAAGTCTGATCTGTAAGTCTTGTGTAGGACAGATTGAAAAGGGAGGAAATGGTGATGGAGAAGTTAGTTAAGACCATTCTAAAACATTGTTTTAAAATCCATCATCACAGCCCGTGACCCTCCCCAAGGCCCAAGGGTCACCAACCCTGAGCTGCACGAGCACCGCGAGGGGGCCCGGGGCACGGGGAGCCCTCTGTCCCTGCCCCATGGTGCCCGTGGAGAAGTGGCACATCTCCTAGGACCAGGTGAGAGACAGGAGACTGCCGTCCAGAGAGAGGCAGCCGGTGTGGAGTAGAGGGGAGCTGTCAAACCCCCCTGGGGGAGGTCAGCAGGGATCTGCCACCGGTCTTGAAATTACTTCTGGCTGTTTCATGTAGGGCAGCTCTAGGCAAAATCCTGTGGAAATCGAGGAATGTCCAAGTTGGAGAAGACTTAGCAATCTTCTGGTCTAACACACTGCCGGAGAAAGGACACCCAGCGACAGCTGCCATCCCAACACCTGCTCACAGGGACGCCCACCACGTATTAATAGAATAATTGAAAATAAGAATATCCAGAAACTAAGGCAAGAACAACAGGAACCAAACAGGGAAGCATTTATAACTCAGGATCTCTAAGAAGAGGTAGAAGTAGTTAATATGGAACCGAAACCATGTGAGTCAAATGCTGAAGATCTTTTATCAAGTAGCGGCATCACATCCAATAGAGGTCCTTCAAGCCCATTTTTTGTGTCATCTCTTCGTGGTACAGTAATTGAAAACACAGCTTCAACTGGGACTTTGACACAGATTCCTATTTTCCGGAAATATGAAGTGGAACTTGATTCTCCTAGAAAAATCATTGCTTACCCAGGGAAGGAGCACATTGAACGTGTTTTGGAGGAATATTCACACCCAGTCAAAGATTTGCAGAGAAGACTAAATGAAAGCAATGAACTGCATGAGAAACAAAAGTTTTACCTAAGGCAATCAGTCATCGATTTGCAGACAAAACTTCAAGAGATGCAGATGGAGAGAGATGCCATGGCAGACATCAGACGAAGGGAGAGTCAGTCCCAGGAGGATTTGAGAAATCAGCTTCAAAACACAGTTCATGAACTTGAAGCTGCCAAATACCTTAAGGAGAACATGCTGAAAGACAGTAGCACACAGATAGAGCAGCTCAGAAAGGTGAGGCTTAGTCACGAAGGAGTCCTGCAGGAAATCTGGACCATCCTAGTTGACTTTGAAGAAGCCTCAGGCAAGAAAATACAAGAACAGGACAACATGTCTACCATGCCCTTCCGAAGCTTGGGCACAGCTGTTAGTAAAATGCTAAGAGAATTAGACACAGAAATTTCTTATCTGAAAGGGAGGATATTTCCAATAGAAGATCAACTTGAAACACTGAAAGCTGAATCACAGAACAAAACAGAACTACTACTGCAACACCATCAAGACAGGTTGCCTCAAGCAAGGTCTTGGGCTCAGTGATCCTCCTGCCTCAGCCTCCCCAGTAGCTGCAACTACAGGCCTGCACCACTATGCCCTGCTCAGCACTCATAATTCATTTTACCATCACAAAATTTTAAAATTCTGCATATCAAAACCTAGCTGGAGACAACCTACAATGTGGGAAAAAATTTTCAGCAGCTGTTCCTCCAACAAAGGTCTACTAGAATATATAAAGAACGCAAAAAAATCAGACTCCCCAAATATAAAAACCCAATTCAAAAATCAGCATCTGAAATGAACAGACATTTCTCAGGCAAACAAGTAACAGCAGCAAATAAATATATGAAAAAATGTTCAACATCACTGGTCATTCAAGAGATGCAGATGAAAACAATGCTTAGATTCCACCTCACCCCACAAAGAATGGCTATCAAGAAGTCAACCAATAGCAAATGCTGGCGGGGGTGTGGGGAGAAAGGAACCCTTCTCCATTGTTGGTGGGAGTGCAGACTGGTGCAACCACTGTGGAAATCAGTATGGAGATACCTCAAAGAACTAGGACTACAGGTCCCATTTGACCCAGCTATTCCTCTGCTGGGTATATTTCCAAAAGAATTAAAAGAATCATACCACAGCAATACGTGCTCACCCATGTTTATAGCAGCACAATTTGTAATAGCTAAAACTTGGAACCAGCCAATTGCCCATCAACTGGAAACTGGATAAAGAAGATGTGGTTTTCTATAAAATGGAGTACTACTCAGCCATAAAGAATGAAAAACTAGAGACATTTATAGCTAAATGGATGCACATTGAGGCCATACTCTTAAGTGAAATAAATAGGACACACACATGTAAATACCGAACAGTTTCTCTGGTGTGAAAAACTGAAAGTGTAAATAAGGTTCAAATGGTATAATTGATAATGTGAAATAGGAAGAAAAGGTCTAAAGGAGTAGAGGAAGTGGGAAGGGTAGGGGAAAGAAAAGAAGGGAAAAGAAAAAAATATGAGAAAAGGAAAAAATGGAAACAAAGTCTCTGTAAATAGGGAAGGGTGGAGGGGTTGAAGGGAGGGGAGGGAAATGGGGAAAAAATAAGAACTAAGATACATCACATACAGGTACAAGATCCCAGTGATGAATGTAACTGTGTATACCTAAAATGTACCAATAAATTTAATGAAAAAAATCCATCATCACATTCGATGATAGGCTTATATTCCTCAGCTCATATTGTTGCAAGCCCCTTGAATAAACACAGCACCCAGTGGAATTTTTTTATATTGGAAATGGAGCCCAGGGCCTTTGCACTGAGCTACATCCCCAGGTTACCCTCCCTAGGGTTGAAACACAGTCTTTTTTTGAAACACAGTCTCCCTGGGTTGTCTGGGCTGGCCTCAAACTTGAGATCCTCCTGCCTCAGCCCCCAGAGTGCTGGGATTGCAGGTGTGCGCCACCACAGTTGGCTCCAATGGGTATTTGTTGATTTGAAATGTAAATGCATTACTTTCCACTGAGTTTTAACTCTTCCAATGACTTCATGTGGTAGACAGTCATACATCCAACAGGGCATAAGGTCTTTGCTAGATCACTTAATTTCCACAAATTCCTTTTGCCATGACCTTACCTTAGAATTTGGAGGTAAAAATAAAGTGCCAAGAGGGGCCGGGATTTAGCTCAGTGGTTCCACCGCCTGGCTTGCAAGCGCAAGGACCTGAGTTCAATCCCCAGTTCTCGAAAGAAAGAAAGAAAGTGCCAAGTAATTGTAATGAAGGAGCAAATGAGACAAGCAGTATCAAGAATGACTGATAGAACCCCCGGTATCAGGGAGGAAAAAGAATGACTGACAGGCCCTGGCTACTATCTAAAACCTAGGTGCCCATGATAAGCATTATGGCCTCTGCCCCAGGTAAAGGTAGCCATGTTCTTGGATTTGGAAAGAGCAAAGGCCATGCCAGCTTTAGGTCCGAGGAGGAGAGGAGGGGACTGTGCCAGCGGCTGTGTGGGGAGGGACAGACCGTATGGGGAGAGGAGAAGAGGAGGAAGAAGAGGAAGAGAGCAGACAGCGGGAACAAGCAGATCACACTCGGCCCAATCAAACAGAAGTCAGCTGGAAGACGGAGACGGTGCCGTTCCTTAATCCAAATTAGGCCCCCAACTCAGAAGGGCTGAGGTCAGAGCCCAGACAATGGGGGTGATTGTCTTCCTGAGAAATTGACCAAAAAAGGAGCCAATGGCCAAGGGAACTGGCATGGAGAAGGGGAAGTCTTTTGGGAGGAGTGGCCAGAGGCTCTCTGGGAGGGAGCAAGAACTAACACAAGCTGAAGCACCCTGGACACATTGCCCCACTCAACTGCATTTCATAGACAGATGTTATCGTTCACATTTTGTGGCTTAATCAAGATACCAATGACAAAGGAAGCCACACACTTAGTAAGGGACAGGACCAGCCCTCGAACCCTGATCTGACTCCCAAACGCATGCCTTCGTCATCTTGCCGTGACCAAGCATAGCCACAAGGTCTCTTTTCCCAGAGACAGTGATCCATCGGCACCATTCATTCATTCTTCATTCATTCATTCACTCACAGACCCTTACTGAGTGCCAATCACGTGTCAGGGCCGAGCCAGACTACAAGCTGGTTAGAAGGGGGAGTAGGATGTGCTGGCTACCAAATTCAGTGCCTGACTACAGGAAACTGAGGCAGCTACCGCCGGTATCCCTGCTGCTGTCAGTTCCTGATGAGTTCCCCTGAAGAAGGGCTGGAACTCCATGGCCACGGCTTGTGTGCCCAGGGTAGGCAGGGCAGAAGGAGGAAGTGCCACTGAGAAATCTTAGGTGGCCACCGCTGGATTCCCAGCATCTCTCACTGTGTCCTGCGGTACAAATAGGCCTGGTATGGAGTTTCATAGGGGATAATGAGAAGTCCTGGAGACAGATAGTGGTAGTAGGTGCTCAACATTGTGAATGTACTTAAGGCCACAGAATTGTCCACTTAAAAATGCTCAAAATAAAAAATTTCATGTTGTATATGTTTCACCGCAATAAAAAATATTTTGAAGTACACTTAGCAAAATTAATTTTTTTCTCTTTTTGGCAGTACTAGGGATTAATCCCAGGACCTTTACACAAAGCTACATTCTCAGACCAATTTATTTTTTATTTTGAGACAGGATCTTGTTAAATTGCTCAGGCTAACCTCGAACTTGTGACTCTCCTACCTCAGTCTCCCAAGTAGGTGAGATTACAGGTGTGCACCATTACACTAGGCACAAAACTAATTCTTGAAGAGTTTTTAAATACATTACACAGCATTGCCTCCAAATGTCCACCTATCCAAAGAAGTGACCATTCAGACCAGACAACTGGCTTTTTGGTTTTTAAGGTATCAGTCCAAAAAGAACAAAAATTTTAAAACGAAGAAGAAAAGTTATGCCAGCTTTCTCCTCCAAGCCTACTCCCTGAGAGCATTGCTAGACCTTGGCCTGCAAGCCCCCCGCCCCCCCCCCCAAAAAACTGTGTAAGCAAAAGCTCTACTAACCTACCTGTGAGGAGAGTCAGCCATGGTCAGAGCATTCCCTGGAGGAGAACAAGAATCTCTTCTTCTAGCTCATTTCCTGCCAATAGCATCCGGTGTCTGATGGATAAAGTCATGGTGCCTATAAAAGCAATGTCCGTAAGATGCCTAATAATAAAGACTATGAAGTGGCAACAGGAACGATGACAAATAGGCCCAGGCCTCCTCCCTGCGTCTTTCCAGCCTGAGTGCCATAGTCACCAGGTCACTACGTCCTCCCCTGGCCGGCAGCTCCGGGCAGCTGGAAAAGGTGACTTTCAGATGGGCACGAAGGAGGCTGGCAGCACGAGGAGCTGAGCCACTGGGGTCAGCGTGAGGGGCAGTGATGCTGGCCTTGAGCTGGGAACCACCCAGCAAAGGGCCTGATGGCCTCAGGACCGCGGAGCCCCTCCTCCCCCGCCATGCCAGCAGCTCACACTGGATCCCGTAACCTCCCTGGGAAGCAGGCAGCGTGTCTGGAGTCACCTCCAGGGTACAGCTCCCGAAACAGCTTGGCTTCCAGAAGGATAACTCAGCAGGCCATTTCTTCTCTCCTGTGGAGTGAAAAGGAAAGGCGACTACTCAGCGTTGTCATCGGAATCCTACCCCTGTCACGGCCCCGGTCAGGGCTTTTCCAAAGCCCGGCAGATCCACAACCTTGAGAGGATCCCCTGACTAGGGACCACGATTGGGATCAGGAGAACGCGAGAGAAGGAATCAAGCTGGGACTCACACCTCGGGCTCATGGTCTTTGGTTTTGGAGCCTTGGGGACAAACCCTGCAAAGGTGCTGGAGGTGGAACTAACTACCCCGGAACTCTATCCCCACATCCACCACCAGGGGGTGCAGTTGCTCCATATCGGTGGTCTTTCAGCGCGCTGAGAGGGTACTTGGCTAAAGGTGGAGACCCTGAAGGCTCTGACGTCCTTTTATCTCTGCCCTGACCAAGTGCTGCCAGAGTTTCCTCAGCCCAGGTCACCCTGTTTTAGATACAAAAGGCACTGCAGAGATCATCTGGTCCCAGGCAACTGGCAGTTCCCCCCACTCTTAACAGGCTGCAGAAATAGACTCCCCACCTCCCTTGGCTGCTGTCACAAGCCTCGGTGTGGGCTGCTGGCTGCCCACAGCCCCTGAGATGGGAGCCAGACTGAGGATGGGCGAGTCCTCAGGCGGCCATGCACTGGCTTCTGCGGAGGAAGCAGCGGTTCCTCCTTCCCCCTGAGATGCAGCCCCACACTCAGCCCCTCTGCCAGCTCACCTATGCACCCATGCCTGAGAGCAGTAGCCACACCTGCAGGCCCAAGGCCGGCGCCCTTCATCTGCCTGAGCTCCAGGCTCTGAGAAGCTGCCTTTGTAGAGGTGTCTGGGATCACCGAACCCCATTTAGACGCTACTCCCACCCTCTTACCCCCACGCATCTGTCGTTGCTTTATTCCATCTGCTGTCCTCGGAGGAATGGCTAATTAAATCAAAAAGAGTGGGCCTATTTTTGGTGTTTTTCAGCCGAGACCTGGGGGAATAGCCACAAAGTTTGGAATGAGCCCCAGGAAGATGGCAAAGCTGGGGAGTTGGCTGATGACTCTAAGACTGGCAGGCCCTAAGTCCCCAAGCTGGCCGTTCCACTTAAGCGTCTGTTCCATTTTGGTCGTCTGCTTTGGGGATGGGTTAATAGCTGGAGGAAGGGCACTGTGGTGTAGAGATGGTTCAAGTGTGGCCATGTTAGCAGGGGGAGGGACCTTTAAAAGGTGGAACCCGGTGGGAGGGGCTCAGGTCCTTGGAAGGGAGCCCTTGGGAGGGATTTCCAGGGGATCCCCTTGTGAGGGGGTTGTAAAGAAAGAGCAAACGTAGCCCCTGCCCGGTCTCTCTGGCTCCAACCTGTGCTGTCTGCCTCCCACCTTCATCCCAGCCACAATGTGCCCACCACAGTGCGGCACAGCCAGGGGCTGAACACACAGGGCTGCCCGATTGACCTAGAACTCTCAGCCTCCAAAATTGTGAGCTGGGGTCGGAGATTTAGCTCAGTGGTTCCGCCACCTGCCTCAAAAGCACAAGGTCCTGAGTTCGAGCCCGAGTACCAAAAAAAAAAAATTGTGAGCTAAACAAACCTCTTTTCTTTAGAAAGTACACAGCTCCATGTGTCTCGTTATAGCAACAGAAAATGGACTAATGCAAAGGAAAGATGCTCTCCTGCATGTTCTCTACCCACATTGTCCCCAAAAATGAAACAATCTCATTCATTTATCCCTGTTGTCATACTGCAGAGTCGGGGCAGCAAGGACTTTAGATAACTGCTCCCTGTGGGAAGACGAGGAGGTGGGATGTGGGGTGGTGGCGGGGTGGGGGGAGAGCAGAGGCTTGGACTAGCATGGATTCCCCCTTGTAAATTCCAGTACTACCTGTTTGATGGTACTGAGGATTGAACCCGAGGGCGCTCACTCTATCACCGAGCTCTAGCCTCGGCCCTTTCTATGTCTTATCTTTAGACAGGGTCTTGTTAAATTGCCCAGGCTGGCCTTGAATTTGTAATAACTCCTGCCTCAGTCTCTGGAATAGCTGGGATTACAGGCGAGTACCACCATGCCTGGCTGTGAATTACCTTTCCCAAAAGAAAGTGCTTCCTGTTATGAGAATATACCATGCTTTCTTATTTCCCAGCCTGACTGACAAATGCCTTAACTGGAGCCGAAGCATCTCTTTCAGCCGCCCAAATTCCTGCCCTCCTGTGCTCTGGCTGCCCTGATTTTCACCTTCTGCTGTTTCCGCAAGTCCTCCGCCAGGAGTCCCTTCGTGCTTAGCAGATCCTGTTCATGAATGGTCTTGCAGTGCAAATACTGGGTCTCTGAGGCCTTTTTCTTTAACACTTCTAGTAAGTAGTCGCTCTCTCCACTGTTTGCCTAGACTCTTGCACGTACTTCCATTATGCTTCCCACCAAACACTTTTTTTGTTTTGTTTTGTCATATTGGTTGGTTGGGTTTTGATTTGCTTGGCTTTATTTATTTATTTATTTAGTGGTACTAGAGATTGAACCCAGGACCTTTGCACTGAGCTATCTCCCTTTTCAAAATTTTTTTATTTTGAGACAGGGTCTCACTAAATCTCTAAACTGTTGAGGCTCAGCTCAAACCTGTGATCTTCCTGCCTCAGCCTCCCAGAGTGCTGGGATGATAAGTGTCCTCTACAACCCTGGCTTCTCACCAAACACATTGTGATAACTTTTTCTGTGTCTCTGTTCTATGTAGAATAGGAGCTGACCCGTGGCAAGAATGTGTTCTCTTCACCTACGCGGCCTAAGTTCCCGGCACACTGTCTGCGGATGAAGGCAGTGAGCTCTTCCTGATGAGTGGACCGCTCGACTCACGAGGCTGTCACTCCTGGGCGTAGGAGAGACCCGCCACTGAGAACCGCACGGAAGACAGGCAGCTAAGCCAACCGATCCTTCCCAGGGGGTTTGTGAGGTCACACATGGAGTCAGACAGCTACAGCCAGATGAGTGACTTGGCCATGTGAAATTTCAGAAATGGAAGATCGGAAACTTGGCCCTGGGGTGGACTGAGTCGCCAAGCGGTGCTCTGCTGCAGCGCAGGAAAGCTCCCCCAGCCCTCCGCCCGCCTGTCTGCCAAGCCCGGGGCTTGTGCGACTTCCTCCAGGAAGGCCTCCTGCACCAAAGACTCCCAGCTGGACTGCCAGCTTCTGGAAGCTCCGTTCCCATATTTTATCCTCGGTGGTGGACAGCACAGGGCGAGTGCGTGGTTTGTGCTTTAAAATTAAAAGTGTACTGATGCTGAGATTGCCTGCTTAGGGTCGTCGAGACCTCACTGTATGTTGTTTGCCCTGTGACCGTGCCCAGGGAGGGTGACACTTTGGACTGCACCCGCCAGACTTCCCGGTCCTCTGGTTCCGGTTATGTTTGGCGGGTGGGAGGCGGGGAACCAGACGAGTGCAGTTAGCGTATTTATTCTTCCAGTTCCCCCCATGGCCAGAGGTGGCGCTGTCTGCTTCCGCCACCGAAGGACAAGGCTTCTCCAAGGCAGGCAGCCTTCCCTCCCCTCCAGCCTCCCCCAAAGCAGCTGCCCTCCGAGATCCGCCACTACTCCCTTTCTCTGCCCCTCGTGGCTGTCCCTGCGTGCTTTACTGCCCCCCAACAGCTTCCTGAAACTCTGTCCATACTTTGCCACAGGCCGAGGGATTGGAAGCAGTGTCCATTAGGGACATTTTCCACCCCTACGGCTAGCTCCGGGGCTCGGGTGCCTTCTCCAGATGCCTGCCCCGTGTTGGCCCACGGTCCTAACTCGGCCCAGAACCAAATTGATTGTAGACTGCAGTTCCTTAGATGTCTCCATGTCCCAGTCCCCCACTGAGCTCCTCCCTGAATTTTCCAACCAGGGAAAACAGGCATTTGTCCTCAAACATGAGAGTAACTCCACAGAACTTGTATTCCAGAGTAGTTCTTGAAATCTCCAATGATTCTGTCACCTCCTGTATGGCCCGTTTTTTTCTGGGCCAGTGTGATATGCAAACTTGAATGGGTTTTTTGGTTTGGTTTTGGGAAGGAGCTGGTAGAGGGGAGCCCTGGTTTCTCTCTGGAAAAATCAATCAACTCTTCATCCGCTGTGTGCCCCCTGCCCTCCTACTCCACGGCCTGCAATGGCTGTGTTCCCTCCCGCTCCACAGCACCTGTCATCCTGCGGGGAACAAGGCCTCTATCCCTTCCTGATCCCCAGCCCCCACCCCGTCAGTCCACCCACAGGTCAGTCCACCCGGACAGCACCTACAGGTGCTCCTGGGGCTGCAGTATCCAAGCGCCACACACGTGGCATCCTCTCAGCGGGAAGACCTGAGCGAACGAGCCTCTAGGCTCAAGGCCCTCGCCTTCCCCAACATCTCGGGGAACTCAGGTCTTCAGCTTGCTGAATCATTTAACCTAGTTCTGGGACTTCAGTAAAGAGATTGGTTCTGGAGTGAAACCTCTTCTCTCAGGAGGCTCTTGCCTGTGCGCTGCCCTAGATTGCCTACAGTGCTCTGAGAGTGAGATCCGAAACATGCTGCCTAAGGGGAAACTGAGGCCTAAAAAGAGAAGCAGGCTAGACTCACAGGCTAGAGGGGGCTGGAGGAGGAAGGAGTGTCCCGGCGTGGCTGAAGATAGGCAGGTGCTGACACTGGGAGCTGGGAGGAGCGTGGGTGGGGACAGGAAGGCTCGTGGCAGCGGGACAGAGGTGGAGAGAAGACACCAGGCATGTGGGGGCCGTGCGGCGTGCAGGGTCAGGGCACGATGGAAATGACAGCTTTGAGCAGAGCAAGACTGGGTCATGGAACTTCTGCCCGGCTCTCTCTCCACCGTCAGCCCCTCTGCCACGCTGCCCTCACAGTGCCATGGTTGTCGCCTCTCCCAGTGCAGCAGCTGGGGACTGATAGCATGGCAGCAACCCATTGGCTGGCTCCCTCCCTGGCCTGAATTGCCCCTTCCCTGTGCCTCCCTGTCCACCCTGGTCCTGTGAGGAAGGCTGGCAGCCTCATCCTGCAGAGCTGCTCACGCCAGAAGAGACACCCCAGCCTGGAGATTACCTGAGCTCCCTTTCTAACTGGCCTGGCTCATGTGACCGGCCTGCCTCCAGGCATCTACACAGGGCCCTGCGGCCGGCGGCCAGTTCACAGTGCTATTTATTTCCTACTGGGTTCTCCTCAGGCAGGGCAGGCAGGCAGGACTTTCTCATTGTATTTAAGCCCCAGCTGGCGCCACTAACTGCCCCAGCCCCAGCCTTTGCCCCTTTCCCAACCAGGAGGTGAAAATAAACCCATTTCGTCCACTTGGAAGACTTGGCTGGGGGAAGGGGAAGAGGGGCTGCTGAGAAGGCCATGTAAACCCATCGTGGGGAGTGGTAGCAGTGGGGGAGCTGGCTCCAAAGACAGGGCTGTTTGGGGCCCCCCAGTTCGGCCCTCAGTCTCCACTGTTTCAGCTGAGAAGAGCCTGGGCATCGTTCATTCACGAGCGATTACAGTGCCTCCAGAGCAGGAGGCACTGAAAAGAGTGGGTGGCCAGGGGTTGGGGCTTGAAAGGGGTAGGAATAAGGGAGACAAGCGAGAAAGGAAATGGTCACAGTAGCGGCCACAGAAATCCTTTACTGACATCCACGCCCACGCTTTGTCCTTCTCAGGGGAGGGGGATCTTCCGGGGTGCCCCGCCTGCGTCCACCCTCATACGGAGCTGTTTGCATCTCCGTCCTTTACCTGTTTGACTTCCCACTCGGTGTTGGGTCCCTGGACAGCAGCGCTGGCAGAGTGAAGGGAAGGGAGGCAGGGAATAGCAGGAGGGGCCTGGTGCCCCTGGCAGCCCCCAAGCATGGCAGTTGTATTCGGGAAGGAGAGCGGACCCTTTCTCCCAGCCAGGAGGCACCTGCTGGTCCCTGTCCCATTTGGGATGGGACAAACTGTGACTCTGATGTGCAGAGATCTCCACCTTGGGTTCTCCACCCCCAGCTAAAGGCTTTCCCAGCTAAAGCTGACGTCTCCTTCATCCCCCTGTGGACAGAGCAGAATTTAAGGACAGAAGTAAATAAAGAACAGCAGATTTACTCTGTCTTTGAAATGCAGCTGCCAAGGGACAGGTTGGACCGGGAACAGGCAGGAGGCATGGCAGGAGCCACATAGTAGTTCAGAAACAGTTGTCCCTGCAGGAAGACCTGCCATGGAAGCGGTGACACTTGCTAGTTCAGCGGGGATGATGGGAAGCACCTGTGGTCAGTCCCCAAAGAACTCAGAGGCTTCCTCCCTCTCACTCGTGTTATTTTCTGCCTGGACATCTCGGTCCCACTTCAAAGCAGATGGTGCCGTGGCTTTGGGTTCCAGAAAGAAGAAAGGTTCTTGAATGAAGAGGGTTCAGTCAGAAGGGACTAGAACCAGGACGACAGGAGTCACCTGAGCCAAGAGCTGCAAAGCAGAGATCTCAGGGGTGCAACTTTGGAGCCCGTCCCACACGGGCTCCTTGACCGCAGGCTCTGACTGGGTTTGGTGGTGGACCAGAAATAGGCAACATTGATCTAGCAACCAGACAAGACAGTACACAGCCGGTAGTTGCTGAGGGAAATGAGGAAGCACGAGGGAAGGGCAGTAGGGAAGCCTGGTGCCCGCCGTTTCCTCCTGTTGTTGCTTTGGATGGCTAATTTGGGACAGTCAGTTTGATGGGGGAGCAGCGAGGAGGAAGCCCTTGTTCTGAAATCTAGGTGAGAGAAACCTCAAGGGTGGCCCCATCTGCAAGGTCAGGAACAGGGAGTCGGCCAACTTGTGGATAGCTGTCTCCTATACCTTTCACCTCTACCATCTTTCCTGCCTCCTCCAGCTCTGGACCAGCCTCCTCTGCAACACACAGGCTCAGCACATCCTGTCCTCTTCTGTACCAGCCTCGCCTGCCCACCCTCTTCACTTGCAGATTTATACAAATTTTAAAACAGAACAGCATGTAGATAACTTGTTGGCGAGTTTTCTCTAAACCCATTGCCTGGCTTCCGTTAAATTCTGAGCACATGGCTTATGATGCCATCCATGTCCCCATCTTTCCCAAACGCCGCTAGGATGGTGCTTTTGCACCCTGCAGGGGCTCCACAAGTCACTGTTGAAAGAATCCAGGGAAGCCGGGCATGGTTGTAATCCCAGCTACCCAGGAAGCTGAAGCAGGAATATCCCTAAAGTTCAAGGCCAGCCTGGGGAGTTTAGCAAGAACCTGCCTCGAAATAAAAAATAAAAAAGGCTGGAGATGTAGCCCAGTGCTCCCTGGGTTCAATCATCATCAAAAAAAAAGGACCTGCAGGTCAATTCAAGTGAGGCAGAGGCAGCCCCTCAGTTCAGCACCCCATTAGCTCCCGTGGCCAGCGAGATCATGTCCTGGGGCCAGAGCAGAAACTGCCCAGAGCAAGGGGCCCAAAGGCCCCTGATTACAGTGTTTCCGGGCCCTTGCACTTTGCTTTTTTCTCTTGGGCTTTAAAAGTTATCCCCCAGGCCAAGATGTGGGGGGAAAGAAACCACTCCAACTTTCCAAATAAACTGCATTCCGTGAAGTTGCTTGTCGGACTTCATCCTTAAACTAAGCCTGGCCCTGGGGTGTTGGTGTCATGCTCTGGCCGGGAGAGCTGGTGCTCAGGGTTCCCAGGGACAGGGTCATCCCTAAGTCCTGGCCACAACGGTGCCAGGCTTACAAGCCGCACCGCACGGCAGCAGCAGCTCTGGGCCCCGAGATGGCATGGCCGAATCTGTGCAGGCAGCTTCTCCTCCAGCTCCGGCTCCTGCCTCAGTGTCTCCTCGGGGGAACACTTTCCTTCTATCATTGCCCCCAGTCAGAGCGGCTGGACCCACAGCAGTGCCTGAAGAATCCAGTGACAGGTTCTTCCGCTCCTCCGGCTAGGCAGAGGACGGCACCTGGGTCCTGCCCAGTAAGCTTCCTGACTTGGCTTTGAAACTCCTGAGCTGCTAAAGAAGATTCTCAAGGCAATTAATTTTTATTTTTCAAAAAACAACACCCTAAAAAAATCCCTGACTCATCTGCGCCAGCTGTGCTTTCCAGAGGAAACCCGTCAGCAGCTCGGGTGCACAATGACGGCACCCCGTGAACCTGACGGTTCAAACCCATCTCAGTTCAGAGGCCGCTCCAAGCCAAAACAGCCTCGACACCCTCTGGCCTGATTTGGGGCTCTGCTTTCTTTCTGGTCTATTTGTGTGGTGGCAGGGGGGTGAGACTCTCTCTAGCCTCCAGTCGGAAGCCTCTTGTGATTTAGAAAAACATCAGCGCCTAGCCCTGACTTAGCAGCGGGTGAGCTATATTGAGAAGCACGTCCGGCTCCTTCAAAGTCTAGACAGTATATTTGTAGCTCTGGCTTATCTCGGGGTTATGGATCTCAGGGACGAGAGAGCTTTTAGTCCTCACAAGGATGGGTTCACCGCGACTCTCCAAAACTTTTCTCCTTGAAATCAGGAGGCATGACTCACAGACACTGGGAAAGGGTCACCCCCTATCAGCTCTGGAAATAAATTCTTTTAAATCTGGGCCTTCAGAAGTACAGATTGAAGTAAAGAGAGAGACATGTTGAATGAGGATGTTGGAGATATTATTTAAAACTAGGAGGCTGATTCCTGGCTAAGGACAGTCTTTTTTAACCTGCCAGTCCCAGGCTGTTCCTGGATCCTGATTTGTTCGGACTCCACATTTTCCAGGTCACGGCTGCTACAGGTGCTCTGGGTACAGGGAGATATTGCAGGGTGCAGCCTCGTCATCTCTAGCAGGACTGACCCCACAGTGGTTCTGCAGTCCCACCGGGTTCAAAGGAGAAGTACAGACCCTGAATTCGCAAAGGGGGGGAAAGCACACAGAGGCGGTGCTGAGGACATCAAATCACAGATGCAAACAAAAGAATTAAAAATAAACAAGAAAGTGTTTTCTGTGATTCACTAAAGCCGTAGGAATGTTCTATCTGGAAAGCTTAGGACTACTTATCAGCTGCTACCTAAAATCCAACATTTGGTTTTAGTTATGCCTAGCTGGGAATGAAGCAAAGCAGAAAGTACTTCAATGAAGGCAGCTGCTACAGTTTGAAACTCTTCACAGTTGAAATTTGTATTTAATCTTTTGGGTTTTGATCACACAATAAATCTCATTCTTAACAGCTTAAATATCACGACAACTAAAATGTAACAACAGTAGCCAGTGAGCTTGTCACCATCTAACAGCTAGGGATGAAGCAGGCTGATACAGCCCTAAGTCCATTTCCTCTGGGAAGGAAGAGCCAAGCTAGACTCTCCTCTTTCAGAGCCCCCGTGGGATGGAAGCAGAATTTTTCCAGCACAGTTAGGTTATGGCTGCGTTTTCCGTTTCATTGTTGCCAAGGTAACTGTGTCTAACACTGAGCCAGAAGACAGTGGCTGCAGGTAACCCTTCTCTCGTCACCTTTTGTAAGGAGTAGAGATCAGAGACAGTGCAGGTCAACTTACAAGAAGCACCAAAGGGGGGCTGGGGATGGAGCTCAGTGACACAGCGTCTGCCTGGCAAGTGGAAGGCCCTGAGTTCGATTCCCGGTTCCAAAAGTAAAAAAGCGGCAGCAAGCAGTAGTGCTCCTTGGTATGTGAGGAAATGAACTGCTATAATCTGCCACATGATCAAAGGGGGTAATTCAGAGCATCATAAAGACACAACCTGTCCAGCTAAAGCTTACATTGTAATGCACAGAGAAGTCACAAGCACGTGTGATGAACGACTACAAAGTCGCTGGGGGTAGCAGGAAAACAGAGCCTACTCAGGAGTGCAGGCATGAGTTGGATTAGCCAATTCCCCATGATGGAAGAAAAAACTTATCTTAGGAATGAAATAAAACAAAAGTTCTGACCCCTTTCTTTTCCTGTGTCAATAACAATCTGGAAATTCAGTTGATTTGGTTAATTTGGAAACCAGTAAGTCAGCCAACTCGGCCTGCTTAACTAAAGAGGTCAGGATGAAAATGGCCAGAGAACAATCCAGGAGCTGCACCTCTGCGTGAACCAGTCCGATGCAGTCACGCACTGCTCTGGCTGGGCAGAGACCCAAGGGAAAGTTTATGTGGTTGACAAAGGGCCCAGAGGACAGCCTCTAACAGCCACAATTTCTCTCTGAACTCGAACCCCACCTGTTACCTCCTCAAATCCACCTGCATGAAGCCCATGGCCCCCGCATGAGTCAGCGGCAGGCTGGCACACCACCCAGCATGGCTCGCTCTGTGTCACCGCGGTGACTGGCAGATCAGGTGGAAACACATCCATTCGCCTTTCCAGAGCTCTCCAGAAGCTGCAACAGTGTCATGGTTGTCTGCATCCTTCCACTTTGCACAGTTTCAGTGCCCTCTCAGTCCACTCATTACACAGAAACAGGGCTTGTGCCAAGCTCAGCCACGGCTCCTCTCTCCCGAACTCAGTCACCAGGTGGCTGACCAAGATTGTTGAATACACAAACACGGACACCCGGTGTGCATCCTGTGAGGCAGCAGCCCCTTCATTGCTTGTAAGAGCAGGTCCTCCACATTGATAACAACAAGCAACACAACCTCCACATGTGCTCCGCTAGATAACACAGGGGTTGGCTCAACTTCTCCAGCAAGGCAGAGGACTGGGCAGGAGTTAGACGCAAAGGCATTGTCCACTCCATTGCCTTCTGCAGATCAGGAGCCAGGAAGCAAAGTTTTAAATACTTCAGTTTTTTCAGTCACCGGAAGTACCACAACTTCTCATTTTGGAAGAGCTGAGGCCTCAGTTTGAGCTTCCCTGCCTGGGGCCCTCGAGTTGGGGAGGCTGAAGCCCTCACTTGTGCAGTGGCAATCCCAAGAGCTTTTAGATAAGGCAAAAGTTCTTTAAATATGTCCATGGCTTTTGCCTTCTCTCTTCTTGTTACATTACCCAGCAATAGAAGCCTCCTTCCAGCCAGGTACAGTGGTACACACACTGCAATGCCAGTACTGAGGGAGGCTGAGGTAGAAAGACAAGTTTGAGTCCTAAAGACACTCTCTCAAAATAAAAAATAAAAAGGGCTGGAGATGTAGCTCCGGGCTTAGAGCACCTCTGGGTTTGATGGGGCGGGGTGGGGGCGATGGCGCTTTCTAACCTTAGAAGTGTATAGACTTAATTCTAGAAGAATAAGAAATCAAACTGGGTTATTCCAAGATCTGTGTTGTAGAAAGTAAACGTTCTGCTATAAAGAGCACACAGTTGGGGCAGAACATGTACGTATTTTATTTCAGAGGGGTGGGGAGGTAGAGGAAGGGGAAGGAAAATAACAAAAAGCAAAAGAGCAGCACTGAGTTACTGTCCCTGCCCCACCCACCCTTCCGGGAAGAATTCTGGCCAGCAATTAGTTGCCCTACTGGCCCTCTCTGTTTAGCTTTCAGTCTAGCAGAGAAAAAGGCTGCTGAAGGGAATGCAATTGGGGAAAATAAAGGAGAAAGTGGATTATCCCTAATGTGGGGATTTTCAAATAGTTCTCTCCTTATTACTGAATTTCACTCTAGGGAAGAGCCATTAAGATTAAAGTGAAAATGGAAAAATGCAGCACACTAAGGTGGCAGGTGGCTGGAAAGACAGGAGGGAAGCACTGGAGCTGTAGGGAGTTTACCTGACGGTGACCACTTCAGTAAGGATGAGAGGCCACAAAAACGTGAAGAGCAGGCTGGTCTGTGAGTGGCCACGGGGCTGAGGAGCTGCACTCTTCATGCCGAGTCTCCAGCACCTGCTGTATCTTCCTTGCAGATGGGGGTGGAAGGATGCATTGACATGGTTTTAAAATCAGTCCCTGTGTTAGCCAGCTTCTCACTACTGTAACAAATATCCAAGACAAATCGCCTTGTAGAGAGAAAGGTTTATTTGGCTCAGGTCTGTGAATGACTAGCCCCCTGGCCTGGGCCTGTGGCCAGACACCACGGTGGGGCACCTGGTGGAGCAACGCTGTCCACCTCATGGCCAGGAATGGAAAGGGCAGAGACCAGCATTCCAGGCACCCACAACTACACCCCACCACCTCCTGACAGCACCGAGCCTTTATAACGTTGGCTTCGTATTTGGCAAAGTGTTGAGATGTCCGTAAGATGATTTCAGTGCTCAGGAAACAAATCAGAAACAAAATAATAGCATCAGGAAAACACCATGCACCAGAGGATTGAAGGGAACAACTGCAAAGCAGTGATAGTGACTGTCCAAGTGATCAGTAGCTCCGAGATGCTCCCAGCGCAGCATTTCCCTGCGAGCCCTTTTGTCTAGAAGGAGCCCAGAGCAACCTGTTCGATAAGAGCTCTTACCCTGACTGTCATCTACATCCACCACCACACCTGACATGACCCTTCCAGAATGGATCTGGAGGGAGAGAAGCAGTGAGGAGTAGAAGATATACTTCCTGTCGGTACCTTCTATCTCAAAGGAAAGAGATCTGTATAGAATCCACAGGCTGAAGTACATTTGACAATAACAACAAAGATGCACTGACCTATAAAAAGTCATTTAATGTATATTCCAGATGGCCAATACAAGCTGATTAGGTGATTAGCCCTTGAAGAGTTCTCTTATAGTCATATAAAAATGTTTGCCTGGTTAAAAAAAAAAAAAAACAAGAAATCTAGTCTAACAAAACATATCCGCCAATGGCTTGCAATTTTTTCCATTTGCAGGTTTTCAAGGTAATTAAAAATACATACATCTGGGTCTCCGATTGTCCGTTAGTTAATCAGTTTTGGCAACACACTGCACAGAGGTATACTGCCGTTGGCTTCTGACATTAAGTTGGCTTTCAGCTTACTGGCTATTCCCACAACCGGAGGCAGCTTGGAACCCAGTCCCTGCAGAGCACGTGCGGGATTAACTACCCGTTTCCCTGACCCCTTGTTGATGTTGAGGGGCCAGGGCGCCAACTTGCTAATCCATGGGTGTCTCAGTGCCTGAGCTGGGGTCAGCCGGGCAGCGGGGTCCCACTGCAGGCATCGTTTCAGGAACTCTATAAACAAGTAGTCATCACAGCCTTTCAGTGCTGTGACCCAGTCTTTGCTGCCCGGGGGACCCCGCTTCTTACCCCTGCGCGAGCGACCCCCCACCAGCACAACCTTCCCATCTGCCTGAGTGGTCACGGAGCAGTAGCGAGGCAGGCCCTTGGAGTTAATAAAGTACTTGGCACGCTTGGCCTGCTCCAGCAGCTTTGGCGGTGGCATCCCCAGGAGCTCCATCATGCAGGCCAGCTGGTCTCCTTCATCATCCCCAGGGAACAGCGGCTGCCCGGTGAGAAGTTCCGCCAGGATGCAGCCGAAACTCCATATGTCAATGGGCGTGCTGTAGCGGCACCCCAGGATTATCTCAGGGGCTCTGTAGAAACGAGACTGGATGTACGTGTAGAGCTTCTGGTACTCGAAACAGCTGGAGCCGAAGTCGATGACCTTGGTCGCGCTGCGCCCATGCTGCTGCAGGAGGATGTTCTCTGGCTTCAGGTCGCAATGAATGATCTTGTTTTTGTGGAGGGCGTCCAGGGACTGCAGGATCGACTGAGCAAACTTGCGTACCAACTGGACACTGAAACCCTGAAACTTGTTTTTTTTAATGAGTTCATAGAGGTCTATGCTCAGTAACTCGAAGGCCATACAGACGTGGTTCCGGAAGGTGAAACTCTCCAGTATGTGAATCACATTCATGCTACCAGTTTTGTCTTGCTTTTTAAGATGCTCCAAGATCCGGATCTCCTCGGCTGCTTGGCGATGGAAGCGTTTCTCATTACGCACCATTTTCAGGGCCACGTACTGCCGGAGCTTGTGATCGTAGACGCGGGCTACCTGCCCGAAACTCCCTTTGCCGATAATTTTCAGCACCTCGTACCGATAAGCTAGGTGGTCCCGAGGTACGTGAATATAGGCCCCGTCTGCATCATCATACCCCCCGTTATTGGGCCCACCGATCACCCCATGTCTTTTTTTGGCATTTGGACCTACAAAGTAGATTTCTGGGTAGTTGACTATCTCCAGCTTCTCGTAGGCAGTGAGGTGGTGTTTGTACTGCTTCAGCACTTGTTCGGGAGTCAGAGGCACCACTTTGGGGGCTCTGGAGAAACCGCCACATTTCCCCATGTTCAGGCTCTCTGAACTCCTCCTCTGCAACACGGTGGGAGAGCACTCTTCAGAGTCCCTGGTGCTGTCTGACTGAAGAGTGTTGGACCTTCTGTGGCCAAACTCCTGAAACAGCTGCTCCACCTTCATGTCCCCTCCACTCAGAAAGGGCTGGGTGTGACCTCTCGGTAGCTGCTCAGTGGCCATCTACGCAAGAGAAAACCAAATACAGTGTGAAAGCCGCTGGGAACACTGGCAAGATGAAAGGATTTCCCTCTGGCTGAGCACCAGAACAGCGCAGTCATGTTAACTTAGGGTTAAGAAACTCAGACAGGAGGTAAGAAGAGCAACAGTCTCAAAAGACTTGCTACTCCTCAGACTCCCTGAGCAGGAAGGCTGCTACCTCAATCCCTCTTGTGTGCTTTGCTCTGTTAAAGACACAGTGGTCACCTTAGCACCCCTCAGCACTCCAGCTACCTTTCTGGTGGGGGTACTGAGGACTGAACTCAGGGCTTCTGCACTGAGCTGTATCCCCAGCTCCCCCACCTCAACACACACGCACACAACACACACGTGCACGCGCATGCGTGCGCACACTTTTTTTTTTTTTTAATTATGAGACAGGGTCTCGCTAAGTTGCCTATTTGCCCAAACTGGGCATGAACTTGCAATCCTCCTGGCTCAGCACCCCAGGGTGCTAGGTCCCTTCTTATAGGTCTATCTTCGAACTGAGACTCCTTTCACCACCACCCCCAACCTGCTTATAGCCTACACTCTTTCAAGACCTAATTTAAGCTCTCTCCTGCTCAGAACTACTCCAAGCCCATGCTAATTAACCTCACATTTTAACTGCAGTTTATCCGTACCGCGTAATTCGCCACTTTATTAAAAATATACTATCTGACATTGTTTACTGATTCAAGCATCTTTCCAAATCTTAAGGGCATATTGCAGGATCAAAGTAGCGTACATGGAAGTGTTCTATAAATAGTGAGGTTCAGAGTGACAGCGGCAGGACAGGAACCCAGCTCTTCTGGTTCAGCCCAGGGCTCTTCACACTGGCACAACTCAGCACCTGGTTCTCAGTCGGCTGACAAGACTCTCCGGGAGGCTGAATGCTGACAGGGCCTGGGATCCATCGATCCAGAAGGCCTCACCGTAGCCTTCTCGCTCAGTTCACTGAACCACAGAAGTTCTAAGCCTCGAGATCATCGGAGCCAGTTCTCTGCGTATCTGATAAATAACCCAAAGGCTCCAAAGCCCCTGGGGAGCTTCTTATAAAACTGGAGCCACAGCTTGGCTCTTAGCTTTACAGAGGCCAGCACGGACCAGAGACTAATCCCTGGTCAAGGAAAGAAATAAGCCGGGAGGCAGAACCTTAGCACTGTACCTTGCTGAAATGCAAATTGAACGCAGTATTTTTCTTATCAGCAATTCAGTCAAATAGCTGATCTTGTTTTTAGGAATGGAAAAACAGAACTGGGTCACATCCAACCACCTATCTGCTATCCACAGGACACTCACTGTTCACCGCTTCGCGCCTGTGTTCCTAAGGAACTATCATCTACCTATTAGGGCACAAATCTGGCTGGCATAGGGAAAGAATTGGAATTGTTTGATTTCAGTTAGATTTACATAATAAAAACCAACATCTGTATGCAACCGAGCCAGTTTTCCTTAAATATTTTTTGCTACCTAACTTTAATGCACCTAAATATTTACTACTAAAGTCTTTGGACCACATCCTGAAATAGGGAGAAATACGAAGTCAGAAGGCCACGCTGGGGTCCAACTACACTACTTAACTACACTACTTAAAGCTGTAGGTCCCGGGCAGGTTACTGTTTTTTTTTGTTTTTTTTTTAAGACAGGGTCTTGCTATGTAGTTCAGGCTGACCTTGAACTCACTATGTCACCCAGGCTGTTGATCCTCCTGCTTCAGCCTCCTGAGTGCTGGGACTACAGGTGTGCACCGCCATGCCTGGCTACTTTAACCTTCTTGAGCCTCAGTTTCTTTATCTATAGAATGTGATAATTCCTACTTGTAGGATGCTGTATAAATCAAATTATAATCAAAAATATATGTGAAAGACCCTCACAACCCATAACACATGTTCAAAACACTGGTTACAGTTAGGCAAAATGCTCAATATATTAAGGTTTCAACTCCTACACACCTTCCCTTTCCCTTTCTGGTTTCTTCTCTCCGATGGCTTTCTCCATACCGCCGATCTCCCTCCACTAAGCATCCACCCCTAATACACCTCCACTAACCAGGACCCCATAACAGGTGTCTGTATAGAAACACCTCACGCACCTCCGCCCCTGCCCAAAGCCTGCGTCCAGCTGGCTCTACGACTGAATGTGTGACCTCCCCAGGGGTATTGGAACTGTAACAGAAGGTCACCATCTTAACCCAAAGAAATGCCTCTGTAGGAACTGCAGTCAGGGACAAGCGGGTAGGAAAAGCATTTCTGGCCTAGACTCTATCCCTGGGAATGTTATCCACTCCGCCCACATGTAAGGCTGCACTGCGCTCTGGAAATCTTCATTTCTGTTTGTGATGAAGACAGGGTCTCAGACACAGTATGGTGGTAAGAACAGAACTTTAATTTCCAAAGGACTATTACAATGAGATTAATGAGATTAAAAATGGGACTAACCGGGATTTCCCGACTCTTGGTTTTTCTTTAATGTGAGTCTAAATCTCTCTCCCTGACAATTAAGTTTACTTTGCTCTTGGGCACTACCAGAAGTGTCCAAATTTCACTGCAGGCATTCGGGATGCTGAAAAGGGGCTGTCCTGGGTGTGCCACGCAGTTCTTCTGTAGGTTCATTGTGCCCTTTGCCTCCTCTCACCTGGCTCGCCACGTGCTGGGTCCCTGGCCACCCTGTTTGTCCACATTCTCCCTATGGCTGGCCTTCCTCTCTCTTGCAGTTGGCTTCCAGGACAGACACATTGCTGCAGGTGTAGGCCTAAACCTCCACCGAACCTGGAGAATTCCAGGAAGGAAGTTGTCCACACAGGGTGGAGCTCTTCCCTTATCTTTCTTTCCTGTAAATAACTCAAATACTCCCCTACGTCAGTTATACGTCAAGTTTTCTGTGTTATAAATGAAGCCTTCCTTCCACTGTTCTTGGAGAATCTACAATGTTCACAAGTGATAAAATGTAAGAGTTACAAAACATGCATATTTCTAGTTTAGGGTAATAATTACATAACAAGAATGTATCTGTAACAAATATTTTTTAACCATGTAATTATATCCAGAGAGACAGGATTGACAAACATCGACCATGTTTCACTTCTTAAGAATGCCTTACATACACTGTTAACTTCCAGGGTTCACAGTGCTTCAAATATTAAAAATATACTGCAATAGTTGAATCCTAAAAATATTGTTGAGAAATTCAGAAAAAACGTGTTTCTCATCCAGATATAAAAATCCACCCTTTACCTAGTTCCTGGCCCCAAATCTTGCAACATAAAACTTATCCCAAAAAAGCCTCCGGGCAAATGAGTTTACAGGGAGAATGTAAGAGCATCCTGAATAAACAGCAAGCTCAAAGATTGTGAAAGGAGCAATAGGGTCTCAGGATGGAGTCACAGTATAATGAACTGTAAGTGCTACCAAGAGGTCAAGAGTAATTTTTTTCCAGCAAAATTTGAGAAGACGCCATTGAGTTAGAACTTAAAATCTTATGCTTCTCAAAAAGTGTCACTCTGAGCATGCAATAAGAAATTCGTTTTGATCCTGAAACAAACAGTTTAAGTGACCTACTGGAAGCTGATCAGTAGGCACCAATACTGAATTAAAGTTCAAACAAACTTGAAGTCAGATGTTAACACACTCGCCCAACTGCAAAAGGTTCCTATAGAGACGCTGACTGGCAGCAAGGAGCCCAGAAATCTGATGGCCAAATCAAAGGGCAGGTATTTCTAGAGTCTTAGAGATTTTTATGTACTAAAGAAATAAACTTGCAGAGAATGGAAAGAAAGTCTACTGCAGTCCCTAAAGGAGTTTAAAAATAGAGTGACCAGCCTTCCAAATATTTTTAGCTGATGCTCTGTAATATTATTAGCCTTGAAAGTGGTGAAAAGGTCGATTTTAGTAGCAAAAACTGATGAAAACCTGGGAAAGATTATGAAAAAGGCAAATAATTTTTTCCATACAGAAATAATTTCAGGTCTTAAATGTAGGAACATGAAAGAGAAATATTACAAATTAGGCGATCCAATTATTCTCTTTGCTCATGCAAAATCTGAAGTCACAGGACAGCTTCTCCCTATCTTGGAACTTGTCCAAACTCAGCTCTGTCTACTATTTATTCTCTATATGCTGAGGGGACATGAATTAATTTTATTATTATCTTAAGTAAGACAGGGTCAAAAGCTAAGTGTCTGCAGTTCCTAAAATGATTAAATTAAATGCATCAAAAACCAAACTGCATCATTCAAGTTTAATTTATGAGTTATAAAATGGTTCTCCTTAGCATACCAATAAGCTAGGACTCCAATATCTTACAGGGAAAAATTCTGCAGATGTATGAATTTCAAGATATTTTCTGTTCCTTGTTTTTGTTAAAAGGACCCTTTGTCATCCTCTATGGAAAAATAAACACTATCTAGATAAATGTAGAATATATTTTTTCTGGCACCATGTATTTATCTCAGTAGAAACTGAGAGGAAAATGTGGGCTCCAAGTCAAAATCATTCTGAAAGCTGAACCTGGACCACAGAAATTGTCTTCCAAAGTGAGGAGAAATCAGAAGGAAACAAAGCCTGTGTTGCCGGGGACACCTGGAGCACCACACGGCACTTCCTCTTTTCCAAGACAATTAGAACACAGACTCACTTCCTGTACTTACATTTAGTCTTCTGGGGAGAGCTGGTTCAGAAGGATTGCAGAGCGCATTTGAACAGGGTTTCGCATTTGAACATTTGGTTTCGTCTATCACCATGAAGGTATCGTAGATACCATCCCCCAATCTAGTTGAAAGGATTTTACAGATAAAATCTGTCAGTGACTGAGGAATATAGATTTGCAGTTCCAAAACATCCTGTCTTAACAGCTTCACACCTACTACAAAGAACAATCAATAAAAACAAATGTCTACCCCGAATTTTGTCACTGAACAATGAGGGCACCTGGTAGAGGAATGAAGAACCCCAACTTTTCCTTTTATTAATTTTTTTAAGAAAGGGTAGTATTTCTACTTTCTGTTTTCAAACAATTAAAAGTCTTACTTTATGAATATTGTTTAAAAAATAAAGACTATCAATTAATTTATTTATTCCTTAGTAACACAATTTAGTTTGAACATGAAGCCCCAAAGCCTGAGGGGGGAAACATGACAGAAGTGGTTGTTTTCAAAGTCCGAGGCTTGGATTCTAATCTGTACCACTAGCTTATTGCGCCTCCCCTCTGGGCAGGCTGTCCACATGGTGATAGGAAGAGCAGCTCCCGCCTACACCCTGCTGGGTCTTACCAACAGGAAACACAAGGTCTTTTAGGGCTGTCTTCTACCTATTTATTTACTTACTTATAGCTACCTAACTTACAGAAAAATACAGTGACTATTACAGTAAACACTAACGGGATGCTTTAAATCACAAAATGATACTGAATCTCACTTCTCTCCCACTTCATTTCCTGGTAGACAGGGGAGGCAGAATGCTAACAGATCAAGAGGCATTTCTCTGTTCTTTAACATTGTGGCCACACCACTGTAGGGAAACACAAAAGACAGACAGGATTTCTTTAATTCACAAGATGGCCCTGAATAATGTATCTCATCTGCTACCAAGAACATGGATTTCCCAGTTACACACACCCGCACTTCAGCGTTATCATTTTGTAAGATATACCATGAATGCAACAATGGCCATGTTGCAGGGGATGATTTTTTTAAAATATTTTTTAAAATCCTGGAATATTTTCGTTGCCTTTAAAAGCAGTTTTGTAAAATTAGTTCTAGAATTTGTATGATTAGCGTATTAAAGGAATTCAAAAGGTATAAAAAAGCACAAATGTTTTTTGTAAGGTTCTCTTTTGAAAACAAGCTCACATTCTGCTAGAATTATTTCTGCCTTTAACAGCAAAATGCTTCAGTGGCAAAAACCAAATATTCTGGATGTGGCCAACCCTTTGCCTTGGCATGATAAAACAAACAGGGACAGAAGTCCACCTTTACAGAAATAAAGACCTGCAAGATTTCCTACTAACAGAAAAGGGGAGGCTCCACGCAAAGGAAACGGGGTGGGGGGTCCCCTTGTCTGCATTTAGGCAGTAACCACAAAGCAAGGCGGGGAATCTCGCAAGGGGGATCCGAGACCGCCCTGCCCAGCGCTGCCCCTTAATTGCATATTCCCAGGCAGACCGCACCCCTCAAGCAAACCCCCCAAGAGTTCAGTCCTGGTTGTGTGCTTTGAGCAACAGGGTTCTTCCAAAGCCACTGCACCCAGCTCCCCAGGTTTGCTTAACTGCCCCCCAGAAGGTCCCGGGCGTGCGGAGTCCCTAGCCTTGCACCCCGATCTCGGCTTCAGAGGTCGCCGAGGTGGGCTCTCTTCCCGCAGCGCCGCTCCAGCCCCCTCCGGGACCCGGGGACCCGGGGAGCGGAGGGAGGGCCGTCCGTCCCGCGGGGCTCGCTCAGCCTGCAGCCCCGGCTGCCCTGCACCCCGGCCTCGGGCAGCGCCGGGCGCTCCCTCAGGCGCCCCAGCCCATTACCCCGGGCGCCGTTACCTCCGCTGCTGGGGCTGGAGCCCGGCCCCGGGCGGCCCCGCATCCTTGCGTCCAGACCCATGAGCCGTGCCCCCCATCGCCTGTTCGGGGACCCTCCTTGTGGGGTCTGGCGGCGGTTGGAGGGTCGGGCGGGCCGAGCCCACTTCGCTGGCACGGCCGCCTCCGGGGTGCGACGCTTCCCCGGGGACTCGGACGGACTCTGCAGGTCCGCGCGCCTTCGCTCCACACTGGCCGGGCCAGGAGCAGGCAGACAGCGCTCAGGGGCGGCGGGGGCGCGGCTGGGTCGCCTAGCAACCGCGGCACGCCCCGGGAACGCCCCGGCGCAGCACGCACTGACGCGGAGGCGGGGCAGGGGCGGGGAGGAGGCGGGGCAGG